ATAAAAGGGGGAGAAATTTAATTGAATGGGTAATATTTTTAAAGTTAATGTTCTGTTAAATAGCAATTTGACAACATGCTTTTGCAATATGTATTCCCTCCTCCATTCTAGCTGCAAAATGGTATGATGTTATATAACACTGAAGAGTGTAATGGGTGTGATGAGCTACCTGAGTCCTCTTCAGGAATAAAAGAGCCCTTATCTTAGCCTCTGGAAGAGCCCTCATCTTCCAGTCCCCTGTGGGGATTGCCCCAACTCAAGGAAGCTACTTTCCTCCCCTAAAGCCAGGTTCCCGCCCCCTCAGTCCTATCCAGCTTCAGTGGCCCTTTCTTGCCAACACCAGCCGTCTCTAAGGCATCCCATTTCATCCTTCCCTGCAGGTTCTCTAAGGCTTCTCCTAGACCAGCATCCCAGCTCAACTGCTGCCTTGGCCCATCCTTGCCTCCCTTCCGCAGGCATTTAATCCCAAGAGATTCTCTAATAAATCCCTGGTGGGGCAAGGGGGCGGGGGAGGGAGGATGTAATCTCAGTCCTCTCTGTCCACATAGACAAGAGGCAGGAAATTTTGTCATGCTGAAGAATAGGCCTGAAGGTATTTTTAGGTGTTTTACTATCTGGAGGGACATAAAGGATGAGACAGAAAACCTGAAGTTCTAACTAATTGGCATGTGTGTGACTGGAGTTCTTTTTTTTAATTTTTAATTTCTTTATTGATTAAGGTATCACATATTTGTCCTCACCCCCCCCCCCATTCCAATCCCCCGCCCCTTCCCACTCAGACTGGACTTCTTGTGTGGTAGTTCTTGTCTGATAGTGAAAATTTTAAGCTACTCCCTCTGCTGTTTATTTTTTTCTCTTCTGCCTCTGTCTCTCCATCCTTCTATCTCCTCTCTTCCCCCTCCCACTTCTGCCATCCATGCACAAACCCATGTGATCTGAGAAGCACAGTGCCTTAGTCCATTTGGGATGCTATAAAAAAAAAAAAAAAAAAAAAAAAAAAAAAAAAAAAAAAAAAAAAACTAAAAAAAAAAACACTGTGGACTAGGGAGCTTAGAGGAACAGAAATGCATTTCTCACTGTTCTGGAGGCTGGACGTCCCACATCAGGGTGCAGCCTATTTGAGTGAGAGCCCACTTCTGAGGTGAGACTTCTTGTTTCTTCACATGGCAGAAGGGGCAAGGAAACTCTCTTGGGCATTATTTTCAAGGGCATAAAACTCTGCCCTGATGACCTAATTGCCTCCCAGAAGCACCTCCACCTATTAATGCCATAGAGATGGGCATTGAAATTTCGACCTAAGAATTTGAAGGGCACACAAACATTCAGACCATAGTACATAGCAAGGCTCCGGTGGTCTATACATATTCTCAACTGACTAGCACCTTCCTCTCCTTTGTTTTCATAAACCCATACCCCTAAGGATGGAAAGAACTTTACCACTGAGGCTGCATTCTACAGTCAGATGCACACAGCTCCTACCCAGATCCTTGATGGTATAAGGTAGTAGTCGGCAAACTCATTAGTCAACAGAGCCAAATACCAACAGTACAACAATTGAAATTTTTTTGAGAGCTAAATTATTTAAACTTCTAACGCCATTTCTTCAAAATAGACTCACCCAGGGCGTGGTATTTTTGTGGAAGAGCCACACTCCTGGGGCCAAAGAGCCGCATGTGGCTTATGAGCCACAGTTTGCCGACCATGGGTATAAGGAAAAGGCGGCTGAGAACCTTTGCATATTTGCTAATTAGTCTTTGTGTTTACAATGATTTTTTTTTTTTTTTGCTTTTCTTTCTGGTTTACTCAGGAAAATACTATGGAGTAGAGCAAAGTTGACCTAGAGTTTGGAGATGGCAGATAGGACAAGTATGTTTCAGTGGCATTGGAGGACACTGGATGTCAGCCAGAAGCTCCAGGGTAACATCCCTTCCTCTGGGGTACGTGGTGGTGTAGGAAAAAACACCACCCAATGTGAAGGGCACTGTCCAAACTGAGGGTACCTCAGAGAAACACAGTCTCCTCCTCAGTTTACCCACTGACTGTTATCAAAAACCTCTCAGCTGTCAGATCAAAAGGACACCCTTCAAACATTGTCCCACCCAACCTTTGAGTGACATTTTTTATTGTGGACCAGCCCTTCCTTTTAGAAGGCCCCTCCCCTGGCCTTTAGCCCCACGTCTCTGTTCCTTCCTTCGGCCCCACCAACGCTCTTTCTTGGGCTCTACTGCCTTCTCTAGATTCCATCCTGTCTTTTTCTCATTTTATATGCTTCCTGGTGAGAAGTGAGAGGTTCCTGAACAATTATAGGGATGAAGGAGAAGAGATAAAATGTGGAGCTTACTTAGAGGGGATTTCAACTCACTCAAGTCAAACCTGGGGGTTGGGGAAGAAGCTGCCTTTGAGCTCACCTACCCCTAGGTCAGCACAAAAAGCCCCTCCTAAGATCCTACAGCGCTCCTGAAATAGCGCTTCTGGCCACTGTCCTCACCTGCGGTCACTTGTTTGTGGATTTATTTGTTCGTCTTTCCTTCTGGACTGTGATGTCCTTGAGTGTAGGAGGTCCCTGGTCCCTTCCACAGAGCCTGACACACAGCAGGTATCCTGTTATTGAGTAAATACAAAAATAAAATTCTTTAATATATGCAAATAAAAATGTAGCAAAAGTTGCCATATGCAGTATATTTAAAAGGAGCTTCCCCAAGATACTCAACCGCTGGTTCTGATATTAAAGTTTCAAATTCCATCAACCTCTTCTTCAACTTTTTTGAAATTTTTCTTTACTCACAGTCATCAAATCAATGCACTGTTTAGCCTGCAAATGTTCTGCTTATATGAATTCCACCTATCTCCTCCAGATTTTGGTATCAGCTATCTCATGAGCACAGTGTAGCTGCTTACTAAGTTGATAAATGGATGGATGGATTACTCCTGAACTTGGATTAGCAACATCAGCCAGGTGGATGGGCACTTTCTATTTCCTGAACTGCCTCAACCCTTTCTTTTTCAGTCCACATTCCCGACACCCAGCCAGCCCACTTAAGCCTCCTTTCTCTTCCTATAATCACTAAAATCACAGAACTCCCAACTCCCATAACACATTTGTACTATTCGCACATTGTATGTCTCTCAGTGACACCCAAGTGATCACATTATAAATGCCACATGGCTTCAGCTAAAGTGCAAATCTCTTGAGGGCAGAAAATGGGTATTTAAATATTTATTATCTTTTTTTGTTGTTGTTAATCTTCACCTAAAGATATTTTTTTCCAGAGTACCTGCCCTTGACTGGAATGGGACCAACAACCCTTCAGTTCATGGGCAGATGCTCTAACCACCGAGCAAACCAGCGAGGGCTAAATCTTTATATCACTCCCTCTACAATTCCCTTCACAGTGACATACATGGGAGCCTTTCGGGAAATATAAACCTAATTGGTTTAAATTCTATTTCAAATATTCCCTTAAAAACATCTCAAACCTGAATGAGAACCATTCTTCTTCCAGATCAATGTTCTCTGGGATCTAACACCAAATCTAGGGCCTCTAGGCTCCTGAGTTAGGAAATGGTTCCAGTTCCTAGGCCCGAGGTGGGCTGCCTATCACCTCACCCCTATAGTTTTACTGCTCACTTAAGTCACTGCCTTCGTTTGGTCACAATCAGAAAAGCAGTTTTTTCAGGCTTATGACACTTGCCCCAACTATGCATGTAACTGATGCCATCAATCACTTTTTCTTGAAATGGCAATCATAGACCCCCATATCCAAGTTGTTTCTTTTTTTTTTATGTACAAATTCCTTTTATGTATAAATTTCAACAGACTGCAGCTTGCTTGTTGAGAATGGTACATACCTAGACAGGAGAACACTTTAAGAGTAAATGCATTTAAATCATCCCTCCTTCCTCCCCCCATTAAGAATGAGGCTAGCCAGTCTCTTGAGTAAAGGGAAATCAGAATCCCTAAAAGTGAGAAAAAGCAAGAAGCCCATGCTGACAAAATCCCTATAGCATGACAAATCTTTCTTTCTGTACAATCTGGTCCCTCTCTTCAACCCGCCTGAAACACAGCGCTGTGGAGAGTGGTGGCCCGGAGGCGGAGTGTCAATGCCATGAAAGGGCGACAGGTTTTGTGGTCGGATCTGATCACTAGCAGGCAGCCCCCGCAGGCTGACATCTCTGCAGATGAGCGTTTTGTAGCCGGGCTGGTAACATTTCACTTCCACAAAAACCAGGAAGTGCTGTGTAAGATGAGCCAAAGACAAAAGCAATCAGCCTCCGAAAGAAAGCGCGCCCGGCTCCGGAAAGCCTTATAAAGGGTTTCAACTTGGGACTGTTGTTCTATTGGGATCGGGACTTGGCAGCTTCCTCTCTTCAAAATACATTATTACATTCTCCAAATTGCAACACCACTCCCCGGCTGAAGAAAGAAAGAAAAAAAAGTAAAATGACAAAACATACGCAGGCGCTGGCGCACGCACATTCTCAAACACACACCACTTAGTTTTTGTGACCCGCTTTCCCATCCGGTCCCGGCCCAGATTTGGGTTCTGGTGAATTCTCCTGGCTAAGCCGGGGGGCAGACTGCCTGAAAGGTGTCCCTTTCTCCAGATTCTAAGGGAGAAGCGCCCAGAAGTGCACGGCCACGCCCGGGTCCCCGCTCTCCTGTGGCACAAAGTCTGGCCAAGCCTCAGAGGTTGGAACCTCGGACCTCCCGCCCGCTTCGCTGTGACCCGCGGGGAGCCGGGCGGGCCCGGGGGCGCGGGGGCGAGGTCCCGGGTGGAGACGGGGCCGAGAGCGTTAGGTCTCGGGCCGGGCGGCTGCAGCCCGCAGCGGGCAGGAAGGGGAGGGCCCAGCGGGCCGGGGCAGCCCCCAGCACGGGCGCGGGGCAGGATCGGAAAAGCCGCCTCACGGGCGCGCCCGCCCGCCGGCCCCTCCCCGCCCCGGACTGCAGCTTCCAGTCTCCGCTGCGCCCTCCCGGAGGCAGCGCCCGCGGCCGCCTCGCCATGTCCCAGTCGGGCCCGAAGCCCGCCGCCTCCCCGCGGCCCCGGCGCTCGGCAGCGGCCCGCCGCGCCCAGGAGGTGAGTGGCGCGCCCCCCGGGGGCCGGACACCGGGAGGACCCCAGCCCATCAGCCGCGGGCCGCCGCCTCCTCTGGGCGTAGCCTGCCTGGCTTCCCACCCCCTGCGCCACCACCTCCCTCCTGGGAGGACTGTGTGCCCGCCGCGGGCAGGGCAGGGCAGGGCAGGGCGCAGGGGGCGGGAGGCGGCGGGCGGTGGCCAGGGGTGCCCGGGCCTGGGCTAGGTGCGCTGGGCGTGGTGCGAGCCGCATCGGGGGCGGCCCGCGCCGGGAAAAGTTGGGTGGTGAGACGTGAGTGCGATGGTGTGAGGATGAGAGGAACCAGCGTTCCTTCGGGGACCCCCTCCTGCGCCCCAGGGTGGGTGGGAGGGTGGGGTCGTTGCGCTGCGCGGCTGGCTCGGGTCTTCCGCGTAAAGTCGGGGCTGCAGGGCGTGGCCGCGGGAGCAATAACACCTCGCGCCTCCCAGCCCGGAGCCAGAGGGGGCGGGGCCAGCCCATGGGGGCGGGGCTTGTGTCAGGCCCCGCCCAGATGCCCGCTCTCCCCCCCCCCCTGGCCGCTGTGGGCTTCGCTGAGTTTGAGTGCCAGCCCGGCCCTGGGCAGGTGGAGTGGAGTCCAGCGCCTGGAGCACCGCACCCCGAGTTCTCGCTGGGTCCCGCGTCGTGTTGCTCAGAGCAAACCGGTTGTCACCATGGCATTCGCAAGCTGGTGGTACAAGACGGTAAATAGAAGCGAGCGTCCCCGGGCAGGACCGGGAAGGGGAGAGAAGGGAAGGGAGTGTGTTCGCTTTGCCTTTCTGGGCGTGCAGAGGAGGTCTGGTCCGGGTTCTGGCGGGGAAGGGGTGGAGGCTCGGTGCGACCTCCTCTGTATCTGCAGGCTAGGCTCCGGGAGAGGCCGGGACTCACCCTGCCGTGGTATGTGGGAGCGCGCCCGGACGTGCAAGTCTGTGTGAGCAAATGCACCGGGCTCAGCCCGTGCTCAGAAGTTGAATGAAACAGGAAATTTTTTTTTTCTAGAGGAATTCCGCCCCAGGACGGGGATTCCTGGATGAACTCGGACTTAGCTCTTGAGAACTAATATCTAGGGCTTGTTTTTAACCCATGAACAAAGCTTAAAACGGAGGCACTCTCCAACGCGAAGGAGAGGCAGCTGGGATGGAGGCGTGGGGAGAAAACGCCAAACGCCAAGGAGCAGAAGCAGCTGAGTGTGGTTAAGACCCTTGTGGGGAAGGAGGGAGGCAGCGCTGCTCCGTACTTTATTACTTTGGATGAGGAACAAATATGTTCCATTTGTTTAGTGTTTTGAATGCCAGGCCAACCCACTAGGTGCGATAGCCAGTCAAGCTAGCATTTGTAATGTGTAGGAACTAGGAGGCAAGATTTAACATTAGATTACATTAATAATGTATGCCAGTCTCTGCCAGCATGCGGTATTGTAAAATTTAAAAAAAGGCAAGGATGTTGTAATCAGACCCTGTTTAGAAAGCAATCTTGTGTTGGAATTAGTAACCCGTCTCTTACTAGCCAGTGACCATGTACTGAACATCTACGTGCCAGGCAAAGTGCTAGCCTCCAGGTACACAGTGGAAAACAGGACATGGTTCTTGTTCTCAGTGGTCAATGAGTCTACTTTTTTTTTTTTTTAACCTGTATCCATATCTATAAAATGGGGGTGATAATAGGCACCACGTAAGGGACTTGTTAGATTCATGAATCAAAGTTCATGGGTCTATACTTTTAGTCCTGGGAATTCCAGTTTCCCTTGAGATATTTCTTCATGACTGTTTCCCATTATGTATTCTGGGCTTTTAAAAGTTTGCTTTGAGTCATTATTGTCCTAAGGTTATCAAAATGAAGTCTGCAAATATGGATGTCAGTGGTTCAGAGCTGGTTTCAGAATCCTTCCAAACTGGTGATTCTCTAGAGCAGTGGATCTCAACCTTTCTAATGCCGTGACCCTTTAAGACAGTTCCTCATGTTGTGGTGACCCCCAACCATAACATTATTTTCATTGCTACTTCGGAACGGTAATTTTGCTACTGTTATGAACCGTAATGTAAATATCTGTGTTTTCCAATATTAGACTTTACAGCAGCGGTTCTCAACAGGTGACCCTGCTAGTGGTTCTCAACCTGTTGAGAACCACTGCTGTAAAGTCTAATATCGGAAAACACAGATATTTACATTACGGTTCATTAACAGTAGCAAAATTACCGTTCCGAAGTAGCAATGAAAATAATGTTATGGTTGGGGGTCACCACACAGGAGGAACTGTCTTAAAGGGTCGCGGCATTAGAAAGGTTGAGAACCACTGCTCTAAAGGAAATTGTGGGGGAACTTTAGATGAAAGTAGGTTAAATCCTTGCTTTTAACTCTTACTTTAAGAGTAGGGTGACATTTTTGTTAAAACCTCTCAGAATCCAGTTTTGGAACTATAGTACTACAGAAATTGTTTGCTAGTAGGAAGGTCCTAAAGTCATCAATATGCCTGTGGCCAAACTTGGACTTTCCCTAAACTAGTGCTGTCCAGTGCTGTCCAGTAGAAATATATTGAGCCACACATGTCATTTTAAATTTTCCAGGAGACACATAAACAAAAGAAATAGATAAAGTTAATAACATTTTATTTAGCCCATTGTGTCTCAAACACTATTTTAACATGTAACCACTGTATAAATCATTTTTATATCTTCTTTTTCATATTAATTCTTCAAAATCCAGTTCACACTTGCCACATTTCAAGTGCTCAGTAGGCATGAGTGACTAATGGCTAAAAATGTGGACAGTACAGTTTAGGTTCTTAAACAGTTTTGTATGGTTATTGTGAGGGGGTGGGTGATCAAAGACCGTTTGAGAATTAAATGCAAGTTAAGGGCCATTTTTCCACAAAAGGATATACGCATACATGCCCAAAAGCCCACCAATAAATCCCCTAAAGGTCCATGGAGCCAATTTATAACATATACACATACATGATATGTATGCATGTATATATCATATAATATATTGATATATAATAGCATGGCTTTTGATAAATCTTATAACAAATCTCTTTAGTGGGATCCTTTAAATACTGAAAAAAAATTGTGACTGACTTAACTTTAAAAATTTAGGCAGAATATAATTAATTAATTAAAAGACATATCTGTGATGTGTTTGTTTAAAGAAATGCCACGTTCCCTTAAACATTGCAATGTATATTTCCACAGATATTGAATAACATCAATATCATTGATCTTCTGAAGAATTATGTATAGAGTTGAAGAACATCTGATGAGCATCATCATGATGAAGAGTACATTTGGTTTACACCAGTCATTACATTCCTGAGTCCTAAGTTGACTTGGTTAGTCCATATTAATTAAAGGTGTTCCTTAACCTAATTAGGCCTGTGGGCCCAGTGGCAACATGATCAAGGAGCCAGTCATTTGGGAGGCCCATCCTTGCAGCCAGCCTGGGAAGAGTGTCTGTCACAAGCCTTCCATGGCTGGACAGACCACTTGGCTGCAGTGATGCTTAGGAGTAGGAATGCAAATTATAGTGTCTGCAAAAAGGGCACAGGCTTTAGGTGAAGAGAGAATGGAGGTCAGACACTTTAGTCTTTAGGTTGGCAATTTATGAGTGTCTTTGCTTCCCATTGCAGATAAAGACTTTTAAACTGAGAGTGATATCTTATGATGGTGTTCTTTAATCAGTGTTGACACTTCCCAAAAAGTTAATTATATTCCACAAGTGCTTTTTAAAGAATGACAGCTTGCTGGGGCTGTAAAAGTGGGGGGTCATTTGAGATTCTTAGGTGACAGTAAATAATTAGTTCCGAGTAGGTTGTTTCCCTGGAATACAAGACTTCTCTAAGCAGCCCATTTCTATTCTATCTTTTCCTTGAGTTTTTTTTTTGTTCTTAATTGTGGTAAAATACACATACCATAGAATTTACAACTTTAGCCATTTTTAAGTGTAAAGTTCAGTGAAATGAAGTATATTCGTAGTCTTATGAAGCTATCACCATCATCTATCTCCAGAACTCTTCTTATCTTGAAAATATTGAGACTCTATACCCATTAAACAACACATCCCAGTTTGTTTTATAAACATGAATTCAAATATATAGCATTGTATTTAAGTATCTGTGTTCTTTACCATTTTCCTTTTTTATTTTATTGTAAGGACATTTAAGATGATGTTGATATATATATATATATATATATATATATATATATATATGACATTTTGTTTATTCATTGATCTGAGAATGAACACGTAGGTTGTTCATTTTAGCCACTTTTAAAGGAACCACCTTACTGTTTTCCAAAGTGATTGTACCATTTTACATTCCTACCATTAGTACCAGAAGGCCCAACTTCTTCACATGCTACCAATACTTGGCCCACTGCCTTCTGACTTCTAAGGTTTGCAATCTTCTTGAATATGCCTTGCATGTGACAGTCAATTTTTCTTGCTGCTTTCAATATTCTGCCTTTGTCTTTCAACAGTTTGATTGTAATGTGGATTTATTTGAGTTCATCCTACTTGAAGTTTGTTGAGTTTCTTGTTTATATTCATATCTTTCATCAAATATGGGAAGTTTTAGGCCATTATTCTTTAAGTAATCTACTGCCTCTTTTTCTCTGCTTCTCCTTCTGAGACTCCCACCAAAGAAAGGTCTGTTCACTTTTCTTTAATCATTTTTCTTTCTGTACCTCAGATTCAATAATTTCAATTGTCCTATCTGTAGGTTATTATTATATTCTGCCTCCTCAAATCTTCCTTTGAAAATCCCTCTAGTGAATTTTTCATTTTAGTTATTGTATTTCTTTGCCCTAGAATTCCTTTTTACTTTCTTTTTATCTGATGTTGCTTTTTTTTTTTTTTTACTTTCTCTACTCACTGATTTTTTAAAAATAAATATACCTCTCACATTAGCATTCTCAATGAATTTGTTTTTGTTTTGTTTTTAATGAAAGTAAAATGGGTGAGTAGGGAAATATATAGTATTGAGATAAGAG